GGAAGGAAGGAAGGAAGGAAGGAAGGAAGGAAGGAAGGAAGGAAGGAAGGAAAATAAAGTTTGCCCCTAATCTTTCATGAAACCCAATCAAGTTCTCTAGAAACCAAGGGTTCTACAGAACACAGTCTGAAAAACTCTGCCTTATGAAGCCAGAAATGGTGGGTTTTATTGTGAGATTATGTAGGAACAAGGAACAAAAGCAGATTGGGAGAATATATTCAGCCGGGAGAACATAATGCTTCAAACCATGAGCATTTGAAGAGCATGTCACTAATCAGGTTACTTCTGGAAAGTTTGGTGGGGAGAAAGACTAATTCATAAATGTATATTTCTCTTTTCAGTGCATCCCACAGGAAAGCCATGGATTTGTTCTGGGAAAATATCGTTGCCTTTGCAAGCCAGGTTTCTATGGGGGACAGAGAACTGCCACTTCCTCTTCCCACAGTTCTTCAATCAGTAAAGGCTGGTCTGGTAAATAGTGATAATGTACAGCTTTTTGTAGCAATATCACAATTTGAGCTATGGTTGTAAGTTATATAGGCCTAAATATATAGCAGTTTAAAGAGATGAAATATTAATGTCTACACAAAGGGATCACAAACACATGGAAATTGCTAACTATGGGGAGGACATGGAGGCATAGTAAGTAAAAATAAATATGTGATTGTATCAATTACATATACTTTGGAATGACATGGAGGCATAGTAAGTAAAAATAAATATGTGATTGTATCAATTACATATACTTTGGAATGACATGGAGGCATAGTAAGTAAAAATAAATATGTGATTGTATCAATTACATATACTTTGGAATTTTCCTGGAAAATATGAGTTTGGAAAGAAATTTAAGGGGAAAAAAAGGCAAGTGTTTATGAGAGATATTTTGGAAAACAGCTTGAGGCAGAAACAAAAGTAGTGGAAAACAGGAGTAGCAGTTTCCCAGGTCCAGATAGAGTTATGAAAGTGTCTTCTTCTTCTTCTTCTTCTTCTTCTTCTTCTTCTTCTTCTTCTTCTTCTTCTTC